TAAAGTCAGTCTATTACGCGATTGATAATAAAGGCGTACGCTAAAAGCGATGGAATTTTTTAATTGCCGGCCGAAGAGACAGAGCGTCCGCTGTCTATGGTCTCGTACTCTGGACGAAATGAGCTAATACCCGATCCGATGACAATTCTAATTTTATTTTATTAAAAGCAGAATTCTGGTCCTCTCCCCAATTCCATTTTGTGTCATTTTTTAATAATGCATGTAAGGAACTCAACACACTAGCGACGCTTAAAAATGATTTGAGTCACGAAAATTTAAAATAGTTGACCTTACTTTCAGCTTTATGTAAACCATTACGATCTATACGAAAACCTAAGTGCACATTTTTTCAACCGGGCCTGCTTCCTTCCTAAAACCTGTTCCAACCTTTCGAGATGTTGTTCCTTAGTACATCCTGTTAAAAATATACATGTACCCTCTATATCTGCCATGGAACACGTTATATACAAATTTCGGCATCTAATTCCTACAGGATTATAGGCCCTACACAAATACCTACAAATAAATCTTCAATGCGTGGCAATGGATAGTTTTCCATCAGTAATGCTTTGTTCGTCACCTCGTCGAAACACAGGAACGATCGAATGAGACAATCGTTGCAACTCGTTTTCTACTTTTTGTTTTAATGAGGAAGCGGCACACGTCGTTTTATTTTAATATTAATCACCGTACGCTCTCATCAAAAATATATCAACATCTTTTTCTAAATAGTTACAATTGTGTAATTGACTACACAACTTTAAATTAAATATGCTTATAAAATCCCGACCTAACAATGTTGGTTGATTTCCGTCAGTAGCAATAATAAATAATTTAATCAACTTAGTACACCTTCAAAAGTGATCGGCAGAGATACGTATCCCAACGGCGATATTTTACTTCCATTATAGCAATTCAACACCACATTACACGACTTAAGGTTATATTTACTTTTAAAACACAACTCGACGAGACGTGCCGCTATCTATCTCGCTGGTGCACCACCTGCGACGTGCGCGCACTCTATACGCCAACCATGTTTGGTCGACGCCAGGCGGACATATGAACTCAGCATAACGACACTTTTCTTTTGTATGAACTTTTTAAACACACTTCACAGACCACATGGCGGACTTCGGAATGCCGCCGCGCGCGACCGTCGAGAACGACGCCGCGCCGCCCGCGCTCTCTTCTGTCGCGACGCTTGCAATGCGATCCGGGCACACCGCCTGTCGACGTTAGCCAATGGATTCTGGATTCTCTTTCTCTCTTGCGTTTTCCAATCCCAGTACAAAACGATCTCTCAAAGTGGTTTTATGGCGCACTCGTGCTGCCCATTCAGGATAAAATTGAGTTCTGCAAATGTACTGAAAAATGATCTTAACTTTCTAATGGCGTAGGAAAAATGATATCCCGCGCTACGCGGTATGTGTCTTCCACCAAAGCCGTTAATAATAATGCTCTCCACTTTTATCATTCTCTTCATTAATATCATTTGCGGTGCAGTACGAATAAATCGACTTTTGAATATGCTCCATTCCTGAGGCGCTCGGCGTACCGCCGAACATGATGTTAGAACTGGTGACATTAACAATACTGGGCGAACACACGTGAATTATTACCCGTCGCCAATTTGTACTGTATTTAAATATTTAAATAAATAAAATGCTAAATTGCGCTGGTTCGCCATTTTTACAAAACAGCTCTGCGCACAGAGTACGTTATGAACAATATGAGTACTGCGCTATGTCATCGCAGGAGGAAGACCGCCGATTCCACCGGACGCTTCCTCGAAAACGTGAGTCGGTAACCGTTAATAATGTGGTATACACCATCCGATGGTCCTGTCTAACCAAAAATATGAAACACAACTTTCTACAAAAGTGTAATGATTCATTTTGGATTGCAGCAGCGATCATTATCGCACTAACCTTAACTTGTATTTATGTAGCACGGTGTGTGTGTGTGGGCTACTAGCGCCAGGTGAACGTGCCGCGGCCAAACTCGCCGACCATCTCGTAGACCGGACCGCTTTGGAATTTCGTCAAGATCTCGGTGTGTGTGTGTGTGTCTGTCAAGTCATTACGCGACGACGCTGCGCCGGCCGAAGAGACAGAGTTTCTAGGCGAAGCGTGTGTGTGTGTGTGTGCCACGGGCACTCATGGAACATGTATTTTTCGGCGACCTACAGGGATACCTACGCGAACGCCGTCACCTCGTCGAACACGTCGACGAGCAAATTCCGCGTGTGTGTGTGTGTGTGTGTGGTGCACCGCGACGTGCGCGCCGCCAACTGTTTGGTCGACGCCAGGCGGTCTCTGAAACTGGCGGACTTCGGAATGGCCCGCGCGACAGCGGTGTGTGTGTGTGTGTGTCGTACTGATGTTAGAACTGGTGACGCTGGGCGAACGGCCCTACGGGACGTGGTCGCCGCTGCGAGTACTGCGCTATGTCATCGCAGGAGGAAGACCGCCGATTCCACCGGACGGTGTGTGTGTGTGTGTGTCAGGCGCGGCTGCAGCGCTACAGCGGTGTGTGTGTGTGTGTGTCAGGCGCGGCTGCAGCGCTACAGCGGTGTGTGTGTGTGTGTCAGGCGCGGCTGCAGCGCTACAGCGGTGTGTGTGTGTGTGTCAGGCGCGGCTGCAGCGCGGCTGCAGCGCTACAGCGGTGTGTGTGTGTGTGTGTGTCAGGCGCGGCTGCAGCGCGTGTGTGTGTGTGTGTGTGTGTGTGTGTGTGTGTGAGAGAACGGGCCGCGCGCGATGACCGCGCGGCCACGCCTGTGGCGGGGCGCGGCTGCGGTGTGTGTGTGTGTGTGTGTGTGTCAGGCGCGGCTGCAGCGCTACAGCGGTGTGTGTGTGTGTGTCAGGCGCGGCTGCAGCGCTACAGCGGTGTGTGTGTGTGTGTCAGGCGCGGCTGCAGCGCTACAGCGGTGTGTGTGTGTTTCAGGCGCGGCGTGCTGTCGTGGTGCTGGCGGCGCGCGGCGGAGCGTCGCCCGGCGGCGTCGCAGGCGGCGGAGTACCTCCGCGCGCACCCTCACTCGCTGGCGCCCGCGCTCGCCGCGCCCACTTACCACACCGACTCCACCGACCACACAGACTCCGCCGACCACACGGACTCCGCCGACCACACGGACTCCGCCGACCACACCGACTCCGCCGACCACACCGACTCCGCCGACCACACCGACTCCGCCGACCACACCGACCACACCGAACCGTACGACGACCCCGACCTACCGTCGACTTAGATTATAATATTACATTAGTCTATAACATAGTAATAATCGCTCTGTCTGTCCCTATGTATACTTAAATCTTTAAAACTACGCAACGGATTTTGTAACGGCTTTTTTTTTTTATAGATAAGAGTGATTCTAATCTATCTATCTATATATCTATAGTCGTATTTTTAATTAGACGAAGCTAACTGACAGTAGCTAATGTCACTTTGTAAAATAATGTTGCCATATTTAAAGTAATAGTGATGCGTTTAGTTATCGGTCAGATGAATGAACAATGAGTGTGAATAGTTAATCATTTTAAACTACAAAAGAATATTATTTCTATTTTACAATAAAATTTTATAAATGTGCACTGATATAAGTTACTAGTGGTATGTACCTACAATCAGTTTTTTTGACGGCTTATTACAAAGCGCGCGCTACTAGTGCCAACACCGATCAACGTCGCGAGCGATTTTGTTCGTAATTCGGCTTCTAATCTCTGGTCTGAGAGCACGAATGTTTTTATTTTTGCGCTCACGCTGTTTAGTTATTGTTTTTGTTAAGTTTTTCTTTATGTTGTGTTTGAGGTAATTGTTGGGTATATTGTATATGTGTTATATTGTTTCATACAAACAAAATGGATCCTCAACCAAACACGTCAAGCCAAAGCTTGTCTCCAAGAAAGAAGAGACCACGGACTGCTTTAAGCGTTACCGAAAAACTTATGTGACAAAACGTCTACAAACACGTATTTGAGGAGAAAGCTGCTTCACTATTACCTATTGAGGCTCTCGAAAAAAAAGAATGTATTTCGAAAACAGCTGACGTTTTGGGAATTGGTGTGACCTCAGTCTACAATGTATTAAAAGGATACAAAGAAAATGAACAGTTTAAGTCTCCGGAGAAACGTGGACCGAAACACTGTTTCAAAGATAAATTATTGTCAATTTTTCAGACAGATTTATAATTAATGTCACTGAAAGCGACAATGATTTTTTTATCTTATGATGAATAAAAACAAATTTTGTAATAAGCGAAGTTTTTTATTTTTATTACCTACCTATATTATGTTGTATTTTATACATCTATAGTTTCAACTACATGATGTATTGTAAATAGGACAGTTTTAAAAGTTTCCTCGCAATTTTTTTCTTCATATTTAAAATACTCGGTATTCAGTAGAGGTAGATACTGTAGGAACATAGTCGTTGAAAACTCGTTAATATGTATAAAGCACGGCTAAAATTCGAACCCCGTACCCGATATATGCAGTTCGGCACACTAACTATTCACTAGACTAGACAATCGAGGCAATTCCATTAACTCAGGAGTTTTTTCAATTATTCACTTTGTCACAACACTACTATTTATATTTCATCAAATACTGACAACACAGTAAATGTCAGTTGACTTCGTCTAATTAAAAATACGACTATATATGTTTTAGGTATTGCCACAGATAAGGATTAAAAAATTGCCTATTTGTACTGAAAATTTGAAATTAAGTTTTTTCTTACAAAAATTGTTTCACATAAAACCATGTACCAGTAACTATAATAATAACCGAGTCTAATATATAAATTATTTACTGAATATTCCCAATTCATCCCATTACCAGATAAACAAAACGAATATAAAAAACTGATTGACAAAGTAATTAAAAGCCATTATTTATTAAATAGACTCATTAGAGCACTGATCTCCTTAGGGAATATGAGCAGGGCACTGACACCCTCCGTTGTTAGGAACATTTTAATAAAAGTCTTAAAAGTGTTGAAATAATTTATTACAATATCTTAAAACATCAATTCAATATAAAAACTGAACACTATTGGTATGCACAGAAATTTTCAATTTATGTGATGAATTTGACTTATGCATATTAAACACATGTTCTCCGACTACTGTTTGTACAGCTACTCATCGATCTTGTGCAATAAAATACATTATGAATGGAGTCCACAACTATCCAATTAGTGATTTCCATACTTCTAAGGAAAGGATGGTAAATCCTATTGATTTACCACAGCACATAGTATATTTATTCTAAAACCGATCGGATTATGTATTATTCTGAATCTGAAAAAATATTTAATAACATTTATTTACATTTTATTTGTTAATTTCAAATTATTAATTGATACTATAGAAAAAATAATGCAATACTAAATTTAAAATGTTTTCCAAAACTAAAGAGATCATAATCAAATATATTGAATACACCAGTATACTATGATATGATGATGGTGTAAATAATGGTTAAGAATAGTAAACTAGCATTAATTTATCACAAAAATAATCCCACAATATAAAACTGTACTTATTATAAAAAAGAAGATTAAAATAGCTACATCCTAGGTCTTGCCATCATTTACCATCAGATGAGGTAAGACCAAGCGCAATCCCATTACTAATAATAAAAAAATAGGGATAAGTGAAAAAATTAAAGTTGGATAAAAATCTGTGAATCTTGTACTGTAGAGAACACCTGGTAATAGGGGGGAAGGGGATTGTTAGCAATGGGAACTAGTAACTCCTATTGCTAGCAATGTACCATGTTAGGTCGACCTCCACATGGTTCTCCCTGGAAACCATCATGATGAATTCTTGGTGAATTTGTCACGATGGGCTAACTGACCTGACTTCATGCTCATCTTATCATCCTCCACTGGTGCCCCGCCAGCGTAAACCGTTAGCGCAGGTGGGTGCACCATTCCATTATCATACACAAAAAAAAAACACCTGGTAATAGAGTTATATTAAAAAAATTTAATACATACCTGTGTATGTAAATGTCCAAAAAATAATGTATTGAAACCATCCTTTATTGATAAGTATGCTTCACTGTCCCCTCCTGATAAGCAAATACACATACAATCAATAAACAGTGTATTCAAAAAAAGATCAGATTGTTTCTCAACCACTTTCATTCAGTGAATTAGAAACAGTACTGCAGTCCTAGAAAGACACTGGATGGATTGGACTGGACTCTAAAGTGGTTCAATATTGTATACAAACAAAATATGTATACAATCAAAATCTTCCTCAATATTTATGACAAGCCACCAGATCATAATTCCTACACACCCATTTCTATCTTCAATACATGATGGTGTCATGTATTGACAAACTGTTTAAAGACACTCGTGTAACATACACACTGTGTGTATGTTACACGAGTGTTTTTAAACAAACAGTCCTACTGAAAACATTTCAATTTTTACATATAATACTTACATCAACATTTCACCTTCATAGTATTACTTCTCAATTTGCTGATTTCATAACTCTTTCCATAGCCCATCTTTAACAGTGTTATGTTTCTTAGATATCCAGGTATGTAGGTGCATTTGATAATGTGGACCCTTCATGATTCACATTTTGATGGTTGATTTGGTGATGTTGTCATACCAGATACCTGGAAATATATATTTAATTTTCTTTACGAGAGAACTATGTAGATAAAGTAATAATAATAATAGTATATCAGAACAATTAATATTCTTGAAAAGGCATCATATTTACTCACAGGTTACGAACAATTATCATACTCTTTCATATAATACCCAGTGGCTGACCCGCAAATTTTGTTTTGTCATATAAATTAACATGCTAATGCTAGTAGTGACGAGAGAGATAAAGTTATTATTGTCTAACTAATTACATAAATAACAATAATGGGCATACAATTTAACGAGTTTGATATAGCACATGGGCGTTGGCAAAATTATATAGAAAGGCTAGGTTTTTGCTACAAAGCCAGTGAAATTGAAGAAGATACAAAGAGAAAAGCGAATTGATTGGTGGTCTGTGGCCCTGAACTATATGATTTAATAATTTCTTTGATATCTCCAAGTAAAACAAGTGATGTGACTTTCTCTTTTATTGTGGCCATTTTGAATAATCACTTCCATCCAAAACCTAATGAAATTGTAGAATCATATAAATTTCACACAAGAAATCAAGAGAAAGGTGAAATGATAAAAACTTATATTGATCAATTACATAAATTAAGTATAGGTTGTAATTGTGTGTAGAATATTAGATAAAGATATTCTGAAGAAACTGTTTCAACAAAGGCAATTAACATTTGAACAAGCCATAGTAGTTTTGACATAGTATTATCACAGGAAGCTGCAAATTTCGATGCAAATATTATCACACCATGTAGTACAAATACTCCAGTACTCGACACAATAGTGACAATGGATATTTACAAAGTACCCACATTAGTACATAACAATCACTATTAAATTAAATAGAGGTTTATGGTAGAGGGTGAAAAATTAGGGTTGTGTATATTCATATACAGTATATATATTCATGTAAGTATTAGATGAATATATATATATGCATCAAACTTATTAAATTTCTTAAAATATTAAATATACTTATGGCTATGTAAAATAGGGTACATCCTATTCTCAGAGATACAGAACATATACACGGTTGTTAGAAGGAGGTTTTTAATATTAGGGACTAGGACTCCCCATTACTAGCACTGTACCATCTCAGGTCAACTTCAACGCAGATCCCCTGGAAACCAAGTGATTTCATCACAATGGGCTAACTGATCTGACCTCACATTCACCTCTAAAGTCTAAAAATTGTACACAAAATGTCCTCACTTCAATGATGATGAAGAAATCAATTATACCATACTCAAATGTAGGAAATATGAACAAGGAGAGAAACCCTAAATAGTGCCCGTGACTTGTGACAAGGGTGTAGGTTTAAAGGGTCCTTTTAGATGCATTAACACTCACCTACACTACTTGTGGTATCATCCCAGTCCCAACCAAATCCGGGATAAACCTCCAAGACTTACAATATTCACAATTACATTTCTCTCATTTGTTAGAGAATAACACCACACGCAACGCACCAACCCCCAACTCTCGCTACGTCAGTTCAGTCCATCCATCAATCAATCTACTTGTCAATGTCATAAAGATTATTTAGGCTATGGCCTCTGCCGTGTCATTTGGTTACTGGAAACATGAATTGACAATGTGTAATGACATTACCATTTTTAATTAATGGTGCCTCACACGATAGATAGATAATATGATGTCTTTTTATCGTTGTTCTGTTTATTCTTTAGGAAAAGTAAAAGAGACTGTGCCCATAACTTTTCTCATATTTTTAAATTTCTTAGTTCATTTCATGTCTTGAATTATTGATGAAACTCGTAAAATTTCACTAAAGATGCTATGTCTATTTAGTGAAATTAACTATATATCTGTTTTTTTTTTATCTTGAAGACAAATTTGACATTATCTATATTGCCAGCTTATTGTGAATTTTTAAATAGAGTTATGGCACTATCAGAAATTAATACCTATTCATTATGTGTTGGTGTTTGTTTAAACCGCATTAACACAGATTTAATAAAGTATAAGTACCTCTTTATAATTGACTGTTGTAGCAAATAATACATTTTTTTATTTAATATATACTACATGTATATATTAATTAAAAAAATGTATGTATATGTATTTCACTAAATAAAGAGCAACTGGTTTTTTTATTGTAGCGCGATGATTGTAATTTCACCACCGTAGTGTTATATGTATATGATTTGATGAGGTGTTGCTACTTAATTTATTGTTTACTAGCTACTCGCCCCGGCTTCGCCCGGGTGTACATGTTGTATACATATAAACCTTACTATTGAGTCACTCTATCTATTAAAAAAAACCGCCTCAAAGTCCGTTGCGTAGTTTTAAAGATTTAAGCATACATAGGAATGGACAGACAGCGACAGCGACTTTGTTTTATACTATGTAATGATTGTAGTATGTAGATAATGTACAAGTAGAAGAATTGTACTATTTGTTGTACATTAGTAACTTTATTGGATAGTATGTAGTACATAGTTGATTAGACATTGTTTATTAAAAACACGAGCGCTAAACGCGGAGTCTTTATTGGAAATGACTTTACACTAGACTTAAATCTATGTTATCTGGAGATGTACTAATGAATCGATGGTATCGAGTGTTGAAAGAAATATTACAAGTGTAGGCATATTATAAACAAATGACCTTCGAATGGTAACAATGTTAGTATTGTACGACTGATTGAAATGTATTTAAACGGTGGCGGGCCAGCGGCAGATACATCTATAGCTATGATATCGGAAAGATGAACTAATCACTTTTTTTTAAAATACTGTATATACGATAACCTTAAAAATGTATTTCTGTGTTGTATAAACATCGACAGTATTGAATATACTAGTATACGTACGTAAATGTTAAAAATATGCTGTGGAGACGTCGTGTAAAGCTTAAAAACTAATATTCTCAAATAAGCTTGACTCAAAAGGATATGAATCCAAAGTCGTAAAACATAATAAATAAAAAAACTGTCATCGACTGCCGACTCAAGTATTTTTGACAACCAAAATTCTTCTTTGTTTTTCTCATATCATATTGTCTAACAATTGTAATTGGTTTCAAATTTACATTTTATCTTCAATAATCGTTTATCCAAGATTCCGTTTAAATGAGAGATAAATAAACCTTTATTATGGGTTTGTTTAGTAATTCTTCACCGTTTGACCAAGATGTCGGTAAGTATTTGTTTTCTAACACACTATCAATAATCAAATTAAATTTATAGGAAATTAACTTGCACATAGTTAAATATTACAAAATTGAGTACCAGATATTCAGCAGACATTAGGCTCATACGCTAATATCTGCTGTTCTATCGCACCCTTTTGAAGCTGTCGATGAGTCACTTGAAAACAAGATGTTTATCAACAAAAGTGCTTCACAAAGAAATGTTTCTAGATCGACGCCTATGTCATCAACTAGAAATGTACATATTAAGTACTAGTATTGTATATCACACAAATATTTAGCCATTAAGACTTGTGCACATGAATTTTTTTTTAATAAGTACATTAACTAAGTAAGTACATTACTTGCCCAGATATTTTCTTCTGTTTCCAATTTTACTCACATTGCATAAATGATTATTAATGAATCACGTACTACTGTAATTTTGCTGTTTAATCTGTAAATCTGTGTATACAGTATGATTAATATGGTGCCTGACATCTGCTGATATATATTATAAATTATTAAGGATTATTTTTAAAACCTTCACTACTAGAGGTGATAAAGTGTAACATGTTGTTCTTGTATGCCCACACTATTACTAGACTATTTACCTCAAAATTCTATCAATAACCTAATGTTACAATGTACTTGTATACTGTCCAACTGAGAGGTTTGTGTATATTGTATGCTGTGAACAAAATCTTTTGTTTTATATTATATTTGGTGTCTGCTTTTGTAGCAACTATGTATATTGTTATTCCGTTGAAGGTGTAAAATATGGCAGTAAAATTGCAGGCTATTGAGGTTTGACATCTCAGTTTCACAGAATACATGAGGGGTATCAGCGGGAGCGGGAGAGGGTATTAGCGACGATCACATGATGACTTAATGTTCTTAATGCCGTTACTGTCCCTGAGTGTTGCAAATCTCAGGGATGGTAACTAATATGAGTTGGTAATATGATATATTTAGCATTTGATGGGCTCTTAGGCTTTTTTATATTAAAATTTTTTAGCATTCGAATTAATATTAATAGTAAATTTTTTTCAAATGGATACTAGTATTGATGATATACCTCTTTGTATAGTATGTGTGTAGATGTTCTTAAAACGTAGTAAATTATAAATATCTTACATATATAATTTTGTATATTTTTTTCTAGTAAAGATTGCAAATTACATTGTATGTGGAGTAGTCTTTGTCGATTTATGTTATATTAAGGGAAGCGATACACAGGTGTAATTATGATGTCTCAGATTTTTTTTTTATAATAATTTGTAGAGTTAAGTATATTACTTTTCTGTAATATTAGCAGTTTATAGCCAAATTTCTGATATTCGGGCACGTAACTTTATAATCGTATACCACAATAACGTACACGCGTACCTCGATATGCGTCGGGCGCAGAGCGGGCGACCAGCGAGAACAGCACGAGCGAGGAGTGGGGCCTGATCCTGGAGATCTGCGACCGCGCCGGCGCCACCGCCGCCAGCGCCAAGGACTGTCTCCGCGCCGTGCTGCGCCGCCTCGCGCACCCCGACCCGCACGTGCAGGTGCTCGCCGCCACGCTCCTCGACGCCTGCGTCGCCAACTGCGGCCGCACCTTCCACCTCGAGGTCGCCTCGCGCGACTTCGAGACAGAGTTCCGGCGGCTCGTGGCGCGCGCGCAGCCCGCCGTCGCACAGCGTCTGCGCGCGCTGCTGCGCAAGTGGGCCGAGGGGGACTTCCGCGCCGACCCCCAGCTAGACCTCATCCCCTCGCTGCACGCCAAGCTGCGAGCCGAGGCGGGCGAGGCGCCGTCCGCCGCCGCCGCCGCCGCCGCCGCCCCCGCCCCCGCCGCCGCCCCCGCCGCCGCGCAGCGCGAGCAGGACGAGCTGGCGCGCGCCATCGCGCTGTCGCTGCGGGAGGCGGGCGCGGGTGGTGCGGGTGGTGCGGGTGGTGCGGGTGGTGCGGGTGGTGCTGGAGGTGCTGGGGGTGCGGGGGGCGCGGGGGGCGCGCTGTACCCGCGCGTGGAGGCGGCCGCGGCCCGCGAGGTGCGCGCGCTGTACGACTTCGAGGCCGCCGAGGACAACGAGCTCACGTTCCTGGCCGGAGAGATAGGTGAGCCCGCCACCCCCGACAACATTAATAGTAGACGGCTCGCTTAATGATAACGGGTACCAAAAATAAAATAATATACCTTAAAAATTAACTAAAAACTAATTTATACTGAAATATATCTTATACATTTCTATAATATTTTTAAATCGTGTATTTATTATCTTCCTAATTATCGGTTCTCAGACACACATCACTTTTCAATCGTAGTCCACAGTTTAATATATAACCGTATGACACCAGCAGTGTGCGCCAGAGATAATATAATTTGTCTCTTTTAAAAATATAAATAATATTGAAACTAATATGTGCATATATATATATATATGTCAAATGACTATGGTTTTCTTTTATTCACAGTTCATGTGACCGATTCGAGCGATCCAAACTGGTGGAAAGGTTACAACGAGCGTGGCGAAGGATTGTTCCCAGCAAATTTTGTTACGTCTGATTTAACGGAACCACGTGCCGGTATTATTGCTTTTGTTTTTTTTTTAATATATTTCAGTTTTACATAATTGATAATCAACGTTTTGTTTCTTGAATTGTTTTCTACATTGAACTATGAATCATTTCATATCGCCGAGGAAGTGTACTCGTATTAAATCTTACTGGAATATTTTATCGAAGCAATAGAATCGAACCGAGTGTGATGTTTGTATTTATTTGTAGTCGTTTTTGAAACGTGTCGTCGTAATAGTTGGATGTAATGTGTGACAGAGGAGGCGGCGTCGTCGTCGCCGCCGGCGGCTGCGGGTGCGGGGTCGGGGTCGGTGGCGGGGGCGGCGGAGGTCTCGGACGAGGAGTGCGTGTCGGAGGAGGCGATGGACGCGGCGCTGGCGCTGCTGCTGGAGGCGGACCCGGAGGCGCGCGGCGCGCGGGACGCGGCGCTGGAGCGGCTGGAGGCGCGCGTCACGGCCATGGGCCCGCGCGTCGACCGCCGCCTGCAGCGCGCCGACCGCCGCCACGCGCGCCTCACCGCGCTCAGCGCCGGCCTCGTCGACGCGCTCAACCTCTACCACGACCTCATGCGCGCGCCGCCCCACGCGCACCACGCGCCCCACGCGCCGCACGCGCCCCACGCGCCCCACGCCCTCCACGCGCCCCACGCGCCCCACGCGCCCCACCCGCCGCTCGCGCCCCACGCGCCGCTCGCGCCGCACGCGCCGCACGCCCACTACGCGCCGCCGCCGCCCAGGTACCCGACGAGCGCGACCGTACATTACTGATCTGCGATTGCAGAATGACTTATTAATTATTGTATGTACGTTTTGTTATAATCGTTAATGGCCGCGTCGCTGCAGGTGCTGATCCCGAGCCGCGGCCGGCTGGCTGTCGTCGTGAGACGTCCGCTCCCCGGAGGCCGACGCGACCGTCGGTCCGACGCCGACGGCCGGACCGATATATCGAATCGAATGATATCAAGAAAATCTATGAAACCGCGTCTAAATTCCACGACGCGACGTCGCGTTATTTATTTATAAAGTTACCGATCGACGGAGCGCCGGTACTAGACTCGGTGCGATTCATTGTCACGAATCTTGTCATTGCATTCCTATATATAACTAAACGATGCAGCTAGCTAGATATTTGGTCATTCTGATTTAATTCCACCAGCTGATATTGTATATTGTATACTATGCATGTACCGACATATATATTTATTAAATACGACACTTACAAGAAAAATAAATAAAATATTATTATTAGATGATTATAATGTAAAGCGTATTTTAGTTTAGTCGTGATAATATATAATCTGTTATTGTTTTCGTTTGTACGCCATGTAATAAATAAATTTTAATGTAAGTATATTACGCTTGTTTCTTTTTATAATACAGTCAATTTAAGGGGGAATACAGTTTTGTTTTTTTTCCTATTTCTTGTCCTTTTTTATTTTTTATTTTATTTCTTAACCTTATTTTAATGACTGACATTCTTGAGACATGATTATAATGTCTAGTCATAGCCTGGTTTTTTTTTTTTAATTTCTAGACAAAGTTTTTTTAGTAGTTTTAATAATAATTTCAACTAAATGAAAAAAAAAAACCTTAAAAGGTGGTCTGTAAATTAGAATAGTTTGAATGAGAAGGACGGGACGGGAGAGGCAGGGTCCAGAATATCAGTGTAGCGGTAATAATTACACGACAGATTACACAGTCAGACTTGATGACACAACACTTATTATCAAAGTGAAAAGAAATACAAACGATTTTAATAATAATAAATAGTGCTCTTGAGGATGTGCTTAACTGTTTTACATCAAATAATGTAGCACTTAATTCAATGAAAACAAAATGTGTTTAATATTCTTTACCAAACAAATAACTAAACTCGTAACGAATCATCGTGTTTTGGACTTTGTTGGTGAGATGAGTTCTTTTCTTGGTATTGTAATAGATAATAGATTGCAATGGGGTACACATATTTATATTGACACTTAGACCAAAAGACTTAGCTCGGCTGCATTTGCTATCAGAAAATAAAAATAAGACACAACGGGGAGAGGTTTCCAGAATGGTTGGAGGCGTTGGAGTGGCTATATATCTTTGCTGTGATATTCCCTACGAAGTGGTAAATCAATCTTCTCCTATTCATAATGGCTCTGAACATTTATTTATAAAAAATTTTTCTAAATCGCGCTAAAGTTCTGGTGGGTGTTTATTACAGCCCATCCCTTCATGTTAATTATTTTGACTCCCTCGAAAACGTAATTTCTGAATTGAGACCCCATTTCGACCATCTTATTATAATGGGCGACTTTAATACGTGCCTAATCAAAAATGACTGCTGTTCGAAAATGCTTCTATCTCTACTCTACTCTCTTAATCTAAATTCCCTACCCCTGCCTTCTCATTTTCCGCACAATGGTCAACGCCATCCCTTCTTGACCTTGTTATTACATCATCTCCGGACCTAGTTGAATCCCATGGTCAATTCTGTGCTGTTGCATTCTCGAACCACGACCTTATTTATACATTCTTTAAACTCCGTCCTCCTAAACGCCGAAATAAGGTCGTCCTCCGTCGGAATTTTGGTGCCGTGGGCTTCGATGCCTTGCAGAGTGATCTTCATTTTGCTGATTCGAGTCCCATCCTCTCTGCTGCAGATGTCGACTCTAAAGTGGCTGCATTGGAACACCTGATTCTGAGCATCTACGATAACCATGCTCCTGTACAGCAAGTGCGCCTTAAACACAATCCGGCTCCATGGCTAACAATGGAACTGAAAGCTCTGGTTGCGCGGGTTAACTAGTTCCATATAGAGTTCTCACACTAACTGTCAGAGAACGCCATTCTCCATACAACATGTTAACCATAAAGAGCCCATTACTCCTGTAGTATGTTTATTTTAATTTTTCTCTATGGTATATAAGTAAGGGTTCTCAATCTCACATATGAGTAAACGAGATATAGCCAAGATCAGGTTACGTCGTAGTTCTACTGAAAGTGATGGCCAGTATTACGTTACCTTACGGAATAGGTGTAATAGATTATGTCGGAAAGCTAGACGTAGGCATATCCACCCAAATATTGAAAAGTGCCCTCCCGGTAAGCTCTGGAATTACTTGCGCTGTATTGGTATTGGGAAACGTCAAACCAGGGATGTTAACTTTCCCAATCTTGATGAGATCAATCAGTCCTTTGTTTCTCCCCCTGTACGTCTAAATCCCGTTATCAAACAAGAAACTTTGGCCTCCCTTCCTAACTCCCCCTCATTCACATGACGGTCCTTTCACATTGGGAGAAATATCTGTCGATGAGTTCCTAAAAATCCTAAGTTCAATCAAGTCTAGAGCTCTCGGCAGTGACGGTATCGGATTTGATATGATTGATCCCAATAAGAACTTACTAGCTCCTCTTATTGTGGACATTCTGAACTGCTCCTTATCTACTGGTACTTTTCCTTCTTCGTGAAAGAATGGTCATGTTATTCCTCTTCCGAAGACATCTCACCCATCCTCTATCTTTCGTATATATCTATCCTCCCATTCCTCTCCAAAATTCTAGAACATTTTGTGCTTATGCGGCTACCAGTATATATCGGGGTTCCGGAGCGCACACAGTACGGTTACTGCACTTATCAAGATCACTGTTGACATAAGGCACAATATTCAAAATAAAGATGTGACAGTTTTTGTTTTACTCGATTTCACTAGTGCCTTTAACTCAGTTGAATTTGACCTGTTGCTGGCTATCCTCTGTTTCCTGAACTTTTCCTCTCCTGCTCTCTCCTGGTTTAGATCTTACCTGTTTGGCCGGCGTCAGCTGGTGAAAGTTGATGATTCCCGCTCCAACTGGGCTAATGTTCTGGCTGGGGTCCCACAGGGTGCAGTATTATCACCTATTCTTTTTGCACTTTTTTTAACGGTATCACGGCCTCTCTTCCTCTTCTTTTCATTTATACGCTGATGACCTTCAGTTATATACCGCTGCTCCTATTGACAATATAGCTCGTGCAATCAACAATATAAATTACAATCTCTGCACCATCGCTGATTGGTCTCAAAAAATCGGTTTATTAATTAATGCAGCGAAGTGTCAAGCTATCATTGTCGGCAGTCACCACTTCATCTCAAGCTTACAATCTGTCCACATTCCTAACATTGTCTTTGACGGCAATCATATTCCTTTCTTTCCCACAGTCAAGAATCTAGGAATAATCATGGATCAGACTTTATCTTGGGGGCCTCACATAAGTGACATAAGCCGTAGATTATTTTCATCTCTCCATTCTCTCAAACACCTGCTTTTTTTTTTTTTTCTCCTGCCCTTGGGTACCAAATTGTTGCTGGCTCGATCACTACTTCTTCCCGTACTGGATAAGCTGGAGCGGCTGCAAAATCTATGTATCAGGTTTATCTTTGGTCTACAAAAGTTTGATCATATCTCAGCCTACCGTGAGCAGCTCAACTGGCTTCCTATCCGTGTTCGGCGGAATATTCATTTCCTTACCCTCTTATTCAAAATCCTCTTCAACTCCCATTTGCCCTATTACCTGCAGGAGAGATTCCGATTCCGTACTGGAGAGCATATACGTTCTTATCAGACCTTGTACTCACAATTCCTTATCATAGAAGCCACTGCTACACTAAATATTTAATTTTTTTTTTTTTTTTTTTTTTTTCTTTCCTCCTGTAAAGTTCGCGACTTTAAGCATATCAATCCGGATCTTTTGCGGGATCATTTGAGGTGCGCCAACTGGTCTACTTTACTGTCAACTGATAACATTGATGTGATGGTCGAAACCCTGAACGGTGTTTTATTAAAAATACTGATGCGCCTAACAAACGAAATAATTGCAACAGAATTCTACTATTAAGAACCTATACCAGTCTCAAGTTTGGAAGCTGTGAGAAAGATCACCCTTTCCATATCTACAATTAATAGTGATACAAATTGTCCCATATTCATTCTTCCCTTATTTTCCAAAGTTCTTGAATCAGTAGTCCATAAACAACTTTATCATTCTTTATCATTACCTCTCTGCTAATAATACTGCGACCCCTCCAGTCTGGTTTCCCTCCTTCTCACAGCACTACTGGGGCATTGCTTAATATTACTATGTAATATTATGTTATCTGTGATATTACTAAGGTACATACGATTAGCCATATTACTGATGATATAAAAAAAAAAAAAAAAAAAAAAAAAAAAAAAAAAAAAAAAAAAAAAAAAAAAAAAAAAAAAAAAAAAAAAAAAAAAAAAAAAAAAAAAAAAAAAAAAAAAAAGTTTTGTGCCATTGTTTTACTATATTTTACAAGTGCCTTCAAATGTAATTATTTTGATATCCCGTTTGTACCGAAACCGAAATAGCGCAAACACACACAATTTGCTGATGTGTCAAATACAACAATCTCACAATCACACCCCCCACTTTGAATAATATATTGCGGGTTACATTTACATCTGCATTACCCCCCCCCCCTCCATACGGGTTTTTTTTTTTTTATTAGTCAGTTATTTTTTTAGTTATCAGTCAGTCGAAAATCTGAGAAGATTTATACAAACTTTCACATATGTGATGTATCTAGGTAAATGCGTCCCATACACATTAATATCTATATTTATATTTATCTATTTTATCTATTCTATCTATTCTATAATCTATTCTATCTATTCTATAATATATAAAGCTGCATTACGGTGACTCACTGATTGACATAGTTGTTCTCCCAGAAGGAGTGCCGGGGGGTCGTGACGATGTATGGGGGAAGTGTACCCCACGC